TATGACATGTGTCTACCATGGTGTTGAGAATTACAATCCTGTACAGAAGACAATCAGGGTCTTCGGGATGATTTTATCTTTAAATAACAAAGTGCGAACAATGATAATTCATTATATATAGACGTATATGATATTTGCAGAACTTCTCCTGTGACCAACATAGAACAGACATAACACAATACACAACAGTGCCTGTTGAATAACAAACATATCCAGACGAAATATTTTACTGGTGCTCCCTGTCTTATTGCGGACCAGATTCAAAGAGAGGTAGACCATGATATCCCTCCAATGTGTCCCGTATGTAAGAGCACATTTGTCGTGAATGTGTTACATATTGCAGACACACGCACATGTTCAATTCATAAACCACACGTGATAGCACCACGCATTAACTACCAAGTGTAACAAAGGGGTTTGTAACTTTCTGGAGAAAAGTGCCTGTTTCAAAGAGGATAATTAAAACAACTAATTTGGCAATCTATTGGAAAAGGCTGGATATTTATTACAGAGCAGAATGGTGCTGTTCTGACAGACGAGCTCACAAAGCACTCGAGAATGTGGTCTGTTGGGTATGATGCACTAGCAGCAGAGTTGAGTGACCACACAAGAGAGCTCATATTGGCAGAAACTACATATGTAATGTTGTGGATTTAAATACAATTCTCTCTAAACTGCCTTCTGAAACACAGAAAATGTTTCCGCAAACGATAGGCACAGTTTTTTTGAAACGTGTTAAAAGTACAAATACCAGCAGCTACTGACCTCCATTACAATCACATTAATCACCAGACCAAACTTTCCTTAATGTATCAAAGCAGCCCTTTCTGGGTTTAACATATGCATATTCGTAAAGTTGAGAAAAGACTTGTGCAAGGTAAACCGAAAATAGACCACGCATTCTTCAAAACAAAACGAATGCAGCATGCACTATGCACGTTAACAAGAAATTGTCAAAACGAATGCAGTTATAAGTGCTTTCGTTCACATAAGAGCAGATGCCTCGAATGGCAATGATTGGGGGTCTCGGACACATAATTGGTGCATCGGAAGGAGACTAATGCTTGGTGGTAGGGTTACTCTTGATGCAAGAGGATACAACAGTGAAAGAAGAACGTTTGCATAGTTAACGATGCACGTAATTTTCAATGCATCGTAACACGCAAACACATTAAGAATTACTTCACCGTGATAAATCCGTAAGTAACAATCCACGTCGCGGTCCGTGGCGTGCGAGTGAACCATAAAACACGTACTAAGAGATGCAGGGTCTGTGCAGAGGTGACATGACCGCAGTGTAAAAAAAAAAATAGGCGTCACAACAATTTAGAAAGCGATCCAACATGATAATCGCATATCACTAAAATGTTTCAAAAAAATAATTATAATCGTGGGCAAACTGGACAATGTGTAAATTATGTTCGGCAATTCGTAAAAACCATTTCATCTATGGTACACATCGACAGCTAATTCACCAGTTCTACAGCGGTTGAGGGTTGCATGTAAACAGGAAGGGCACATTTGTGCTCTGAAAAAATGTACTTATCATCATTTTAAGTCAACATTTCCAGCACAGCATGTATTTGCCGTTCCCCTGAATGCCTTTCTTTTTGCATGCATTAACTCTGGCATACATCCCATAGGCTGTTTTTATTTCCTAAATTGAAAAAAAATACTTAAATACTCCCATCCCTGTCTGAGCAGATGCTACGCGGTTGCCCAACCAAGGACACTGCGAACCACAACTGTCATCTCTTACACCTCCAACACAACGCTGACAATGTGTTCTGGTTTGGCCGTTTAGCATTAAGACACAGTCTTATTTATGTTTACTGGCTCCAGTTGCCTATTGGCTAAAGCACAAGCTAAGCAAATAAAAGTCAGGATTTAAAACTGTCCATCCTAGCAACACTAACAGAAATACCTAGTTCTGCCTCCATGCCCCGATAGCACATGTACACGCGCCATGCAGTTGCCAATCACATGCTACGTCTCTGCGATAGCATTCTTTTGTTTCCAATCACAATCAACAATACATTTTTTTTCATTCCCGAAACAAACCCCGATAAAATACAACTACACATGTCAGCATCAATGCAATTATTTGCAATCATTAAAATGTGAGAATGAAACTAATCAAATCCTAATATTTTTTACATTTACTGGCCTTGGAAAAGGAACGCACCTAAGCTGATCTCCTGTTGCACCACACTGACACTTTGAAATGCTCAGGACCATGGTATACCACGGAGGGAGGCGTAAGCTGCAACTGCTCAATGAAGAAATAACGCGATCGGGATTTTATCTGAACATTTTCGTTTTCTTTACACAGCAATGTAGTGAAACGCTGTATCATTTCCTCCTCTAACCACTTTATAAATCATTCTGCGTATTAAAACAGAACGTTTGAATTGCGCACCAGATATATCAAGTAATGCCTGTGCTACCCAACATGGAAATTGCAACTCTACAATTGTGATGCCTCCTCCTCCTCCTTGGTCTTAATAATGGACGGGCACATCACAATGGTGTCAAATTAACAACTCCTCTTGCCTTGTGATTTGATCTGAGCAATGCCAAATTCAGCAGCACTTTTATGGCATTTAGGTAATTTCCAAGCAAAGTTGCACGAAACATTCTGTGGCAGAACCAGACGTCCACATTACGGACCTGCCCCTGCACAGGTCACGTGCATTGTTGTTGTTAAATGAACACGTTGTGCTTTTCAAAACCACTTTGCATGCATTCAACATTTTGTTCAGTACCAGCAAACATTGAAGACTTCCACAAACGCTATTTCCCAGACAATGCCCAAAAATCATGTTACCACTGCAGAAGAGACAAAGGGAAGCTTGCTAACCCCTACCATGGTGTCCCTCCTCTAAAATTAGGCACGGCTACGTATAAAGCACCCAGTACCACTGGGTTAAAAGGGACATTATTACTTACTGCGCAGTCACAACATTTGCATTTTCTTCTGCAGATTCTTCGAGGCACCACAAAAGCCTGAAAGTACATTTGCTCAGCCACGCACATATTTACAAAACAGGCGGACCCATCTTTGCCAGCGATAAGTGGAGTGTAGTGCATGAAGCGTTATGACTGCATGGAGGTTTCTTCCATTCAAAGTAGCACACGTACTGCGTGCATGCCACCAATGCAGCGTGCTCATATAATCCAGGTAAAGGAATGATACAAATGATTGGAGTCTCTGGCTAGAAAATCACCTGTGCAATCATTAACATGTCATCTGAAGAAAAACGGAACATGTGTTGATAATTTTTGGAATCAAACCACTATTCTGAAGCAGATTGTGTATATATCCCCATAACATATTGCCACATTTAATAACTATATACGTATCATCGGACCTTTTTTCCAGTATCAAAATATGAAAAATATAGGTTTTACCCATTCTGGCAATAAAACAAGTATTAAGATATTCAAACACCAAATAAATACCTTTTGCAAGGAATCAAGTCTGCATTAACCACACGTACCTGTGGTGAACATACAAACAAACATGCTCTGAAAATATATGCGTTTCAAAGACAACGCATATATTATTCTTTGGGTCATTCGGTAAAGTCACGTAGATAGGTTCAAAGAAAATAACAAAAAACAAAAATTTCGATTTAAAGCCTTCGTGACTGCAAGGATTCATCTTCTTTGGTTCTTTCGGTAAAGTCACGTAGAATGAGAATAAAATAATAAATTGATAAAATAAAACACAATAATATTCTCATGACGTTTCGGCCACAACACAAGCGGCCTTCATCAGGTGAAGGGACGAGACTGTCTGGTAGGACAGCGCTGGAGTGAAAAAGCCACGCTCAGATCACGACCTTTAAGCTCGGTGAATGTGTATGCTCTGACTTTAACATAGCTATTTCTGTGACCAGTTACAAGCTAATCACTCAGCTATTTCAATGCTAAATTCTATGCTAATTCCTTTGTCAAGGGGTGCCTCTGCGGATGTGTATGCTTTAACTTTAACATAGCCATTTCTGTGACCAGTCACAAGCTAATCACTCAGCCATTTCAATGCTAAATTATACGCTAATTCCTTTGTCAAGGCGCTTTGTTTCTTCTCACACAGCTTAAAGGTCGTGATCTGAGCATGGCTTTTTCACTCCAGCGCTGTCCTACCAGACAGTCTCGTCCCTTCACCTGATGCAGGCCGCTTGTGTTGTGGCCGAAACGTCGTGAGAATATTATTGTGTTATTTTATTCTATCAATTTATTATTTTATTCTCTTTCTACGTGCCTTTACCGAAAGAACCAAAGAAAAAACTAAAACTACGACGTTCCGATCGCAACACAAGCGGTCGTCTTTGGGAAACGTCGTAGCTTTAGTTTTTTGTTATTTTCTTTGAACCTACCTACGTGACTTTACCGAAAGACCCAAAGAATATGAATTCCTGCAGTCACGAAAAGCTTTATGTCAAGATTGAACACATATACTGATACATCTTAACATCTGTTTCATTGCCAGAAAGGGTACAACCTATTCTATTTTTTCAACTATGTACGTGCAAACGCAGTGTCCTGTTGTCAATCCACTGCTGGAAGAGTGCCTTCCCACTCCGCACGGCTCGTGGGGGGGGGGGGGGGCTATTTGATCATCACGCTGGGTCACGCACCCATTGGGTGAAGTTGGTGGGGAGCCGAAAGACGTTGGAGCAGAGTAATGCAGATGGATGTTGCTGCACCGCCCTCTGCCGACTAGATGGCTCCACAGAAGTCACGCACACACCTCGGCTGGGACAGGGCGAGCGCTGGGCGGCATCGTCATTTGAAGCCAAGATGACTATGAAGTGAACAGAGGCACACTGGAGTTCAACTTTACAACGATTGGTTTGACGGGTCGAATATTTCGTTTCAACTATTAGTTTACATTCCTGTATACCATGGCATAATCTTTATACATTTTTATACATTTAGTCACGTTACATAAAATGTACGTAACGCTGCATATTCGTATTTTGCGTAAATCTAAGTTTATCATTTATATGCAGTATATACACATGCAGTACATTTCTTAGAGGAGGCTATATGTGATTGCCAATCTTCAGTCGGCTGGATTGAGGTCACAGTACGTATATATTAGTGCCAATTAACACAAGCATTCTATTGGGCCTCTTCCAGAAAAATAAACAATATCAGCTACTTTGAGATGTAAGGCTATCCCCTAAAACATTACATATAGCCTCCTGCGTGGCATATTCTATGTCTATTATGGAATACAATTAATCCCATGATTGTTGGCCTATAAAACAATAACTTAAATCTAAGTTGTGACGATTTGAATGAGCCTATGCAGACCTTAAGCACCCGCTTCGAGTGTATGTCACCCTCTGCAGGTCGTCGTAGGCAAATGCATATTTAAAAAAATAACGAGAGTTCAGTTTAATAAAAATATGTCATTGACATTTCCGTTATTCCTCCCAGCTATAATTTATATTAACACAGCCTTTTAAAATAAGTAATGGAGGCATGCACGTAGAAAAATAATGACTCTTCAGTAGTGATGACCTCTTCGCCAGTGCAAATTCTCACAGGAGGGCAGCAATCTCTCCACTCGTCCATCCCAAGCTGCGTCGTCTCCCTTACTTCATGCGGTTGGGTTGCCAAAGACCTCCAGCAGGAGTGGCGGCAGGTCCTCCTTGTTGACGGCGTCCTGCGAGATCTGCAGGTACTGCTTCGAGTGCTCCTCGTTGAGGCTCCTCAGCTCGGTCAGCTTCTCCACCATCTTGGCGTAGAGCATGTGCTTGCAGGAGAGCGGGTGGCGACAAGCGATGTAGGCGCGCAGCGTCTCCGTCAGGTGCTCCTGCACCTCCTCCACCCTGCAACGGTCTTGTACGCCAGGCCGGTCTGACAGCACCAACGCGCGGGCAAACGTTGCACCCCTCGAACTACACGTGATTCGTTAAAAAAAAGTGTTTTTGCAAGCAAAATTGCTTTCATAATTACGCAGCCTTTACCCGTTGACCTGTATTTCTCGCTCGGACAACACAACTTTGATTTATAGAGCATTTCAACGTAACTGCATCTCAAGATGCTGCAAAGAAAGCAGTGGGCGTAATAATTTTGTAGAGGCGGCCACACACAGAATAAAAAAAAAATGAACGGGGGCAGAAAGTCGACGGCATGAATGGCTGGAGGAAGTTACAGACAACGTGGGCAGCAGATGGGGAGGATCCACCTCCCACTGATTGATGATTGAATAAGCATTTCAAAGGAAATAATTTTATCTCTCAATGGGCTCTACCTACACAATCCAATCCAACGTTTATTTCACCAGGACATGGAAATTACCCATAAAGATGAACACGTGAATATGGGATTGTTGAGAAGGGTGACCTGGGTTACAGCACGAATTAAAAATGGAAACAATATAAAGTGAAAATATATAATTAAAAGGGGAAACATAGAAGGTAAAAATAGACGTCATTAGGCCAGGACCATACTTAACAATATAAAATTAACATAAAATAAACTTAACAATTTATATTCAAATTTATAATGCAACCAGGAAGCAATAAAGTGCCAAGAATGTGATGCATTAAAGATAAATGATAATTTCCCAACAGTTCTTAACTCTTGCAGCAGTGTACTCCAGGCTTGCAGTGTTAAATTTGAAGGATTTGAATCTAAGACATGAACCACATAGCCTAGAGCGCAAACCCCGAGAAAGCACCGCAGGGAAATCTTGCCCAATGAGTTTCCCTCCTGAGAGCAAGCTATAACCAAATGCTACACAAACTAGAGTAGCATTGCATCGTGCCTCAAGCCAATTAACTGCTTATATTGGTAGGCACCTCCTGGTTACACCAGCCCACAGGGGATTATTGTGTCCGTCCGTCGTGCATCCAAAAATGGGAGGGGTGGGGCTGGGTGGAGAGGGGAGGGTGGGGAGGGGCTGGGTGGGGAGGGGAGGGAGGGGCTGGGTGGGGCGTGGAAGGTGTGGGGCTGGGTGGGGAGGGGCTGGGTGGGGAGGGTGGGGCTGAGGAGGGTGGGGAGGGGCTGGGTGGGGGGGTGGGAGGGGTGGGGAGGGGCTGGTCACCTCGTGGTGCCCTTATATAAAACTCAACGTTTAACCTACTCACGCAGGCTTGTGCCCGCCCTCACAGTTGGGCATATTACTGGTAGGAAACGTAGTGGACTGGAAGCCCAACCGGGATTAATTCACAGGAGGCAGGGGATTAATTGTGTATGTCTGTCCACGTCGGAAGGGTGGGGCTGGGTGGAGAGGGGAGGGTAGGGAGGGGCCGGGTTTGGAGGGGCTGGGTGGGGAGGGGAGGGTGGGGAGGGGCTGGGTGGGGCGGGGCTGGGTGGGGAGGGGCTGGTCACCCCGTGGTGCCCTTATATGGACTGGAAGCCCAACCGGGATTAATTCACAAGAGGCAGGGGATTATACACTGCACTTTCTAGTGTGACCTCTTTTACACTACACTTTCTGGCGTCGTTTTATAATTCTGCTCACTTTTCATTTTGCTTTCTTCTGCGCACGACCCTAACAAGTTTGGCTTAAATATCCGTACATAATTACTTCAAAATTTCCTACCAGCCCCCTCCGCAGGAATGTGTTTGCGGAATACACCACGCCACCGTTGACCCTGGCCATTGACCGAGCAACCCAACGTTCCTACCAGCTCCCTCCACAGGAATGTGTTACAGAGTAACACTACGAGTTGCGTTTGTGCAAAAGAACGTGTCTCTCGGGATTGTGAATGGCAGCGTGTGACGGGCATATTGATATTTGGCAGGTGCAAAGTTCCTTGAAGGAGGAGCATTGAAACACCACTGACCGGGAGAGAAGAGGCAGATAGCCATGAGCAGCACGTGCTCAGCCTCATGGAGGTCAAGTTTCTTCATGTTGACCTGGAACTTGACAAGGGGCTCCAGAAGCTCCAACTTGTGTCCAGCTACAACACATGTTTTGGCGAAACATTTACATCTCCAAAACGCGTTGCAGTATTTCAGTGATTAAATTACACCCAAGTAATAATAAACTAAAATGACAAAACTAAACGATATTTAATTTTAACATTTAAGGCCCACCGAGCTATATAGCTCTTTTTCAGAAGCGACCTGGCTACAAATGGCAACTCAACGCAGTGGCTTATCACGTGGGTATTTATAGCTGCCAAATACTCTCAACGCGTGTTTCTAAACGCGGAGGGGAAAAACCGGAGGACCCGGAGAAAAATCCACGCAACCACGGGGAGAACACGCAAACTTTAAATATACAGGCATCAAGCTCGGGATCGAACTAACGACCTCCAGTATTAATAATAATTGCAGGGCAGCAGTTGCACAGCGGTGGGACGCAATGCACTATGAGCCCGGGCAACCTGAGTTCACGGCTATCATCAGTGGCGAGGGATATTGAACCGGTCCATGGCCTCACACCTTCACCAAGCAGCATGGCCCAGCTTGAATTATGTTTAAATAAACCCCACGACTGACAGGGCACAAATAAGCCTTTAGTCCAGCATTAAAAAAATCTGTTTATTATTTTAATAAAAAAAATTCACTGAGAAACAGCAATTAGGTTAATAATGGTGAAGGAAATTAAGGTTTGCACAGATTTTTTTTCTGAAACGCAATACAGTAAAACCTTGGATTGCGAGCATAATTCGTTCCGGAAACGTGTTTGTAATCCAAAGCACTCGTATATCAAAGCACTCGTATATCAGTTGTGATCACGTGACGCTCGGCAAAGCGTATACGTACTACCCGTATTCCAAGACCGAGCTCGTTTGTCAAATTAATATTTATTTAAAATTTTTGCTCGTCTTGCAAAACATTTGCAGACCAAGTTACTCGCAATCCAAGGTTTTACTGTATGTTGGCAACACCTGTTCAGTCAAATTACCGCATAAGGCCATGCGTGGGAGGTACATGGGCTTAAACCACATAGACCGTAAATTCATCGCCAAAAGAAGACATTTTCAATACTTAATACACTATTGAGGGGCGTATAATGCCAATATGAAAGGAAAATAGCAAATGACTGTGTATTACTGGCCACAAGGATTGCTCAGAGGACGAAGACTGGGGAAGTGACAGAAACACAAAAAAAATAATTTTTGATACAGCGTTTAAAGATGTACAATGCAGCTACAAAAAAAATCAGGTGGCATTTGGTGAATAAAAGAATAATCAGTAGATTGGAAAATTCGAAGTTTCAAAAGTAGATTGAGTTTAACATGATGTCAATATGCCGCCATTTCGGCGCTAAAGTTAAATATGAATGACTCATTTTTGTTGCAACTCGTCATCTTGTTGTGCTCTGAATGGACTAAAAAAAAACTGTGCCGTGATGTTTCGTTACATTATGGGCACAATATTAATGCAAGTATCAACATTATATATATTTACACTTGCCCTGCATAACGTCGCCGATCTGATATTTGAACTCGTTGCTGCCACAGGTCCAAGAATTGTCCTCCATCGTGAAGGACTCGTTGGAGCGGAGGATGATGATTTCAATGGCACTGGCCTTGAGCAGGGAAATCTGATCCTCCGTGCACAGCTCTCTGTCACAAACAGAAAATGACTTGTTAAATTAAATTATTTACAGACTTCGGGAACGGTTGGCCAACCCTGAACAGACAAATGGAAACTGTAAATCTTGAACATGTTCCATTTGGGCATTGGCGGCACTGCAAAATACACTATTGTACATCAACTTAATGCATCATATAAAAAAAAAGTGCAACGACAAACCCATCATTAAAGTTTTATTGAATGGAAAGCTGGCCTACTGGTGTCTAGATCTTGTATTTTACACACGGCATACAGCACTCAGTGTGGTTATCAGTGGGTAAACCTGAAGACACACCATGATAAAAACCGGATAACAGACGCAATAAATAACTAACATAAGCTGGCCTACCAAGGCTACACATAAATTAGATCTCAACCCAATCTATACAATCATTCATTCAATTTTAGCAATGTAAATGGAAAGTAAAAATTTAGTTTTGATAAATAATACAAATTATATCCTCAATTTTGATTTAAAGCTTTCGTGACCGCAGTGATGTGCAAACTAAGATTATTTACCACAGGCGCTCTCTGTAATTTGGCAAATAATTAGAAAGGACAATCACGAATCCGAACTCTCCACAATAATTAGGCAGTCCCAATTAATCCTAAATTTAGCTTCCACTTTCGTTAACTCACTTGATGAAGCTCTGGCACAATTCATCGACCGAGTTATGTAATGGACACAATTGTCACCGACTTTTTGCGATAGGGCCCCTTTAAAAATGGCCACACATAGCAGGATACCTGCTATAAGCCACACTCAGCATAACACGGTCGAGAATGATATCACCCAGCCCCACGAAATAAAACACCTCCCATCCAGTGGCACACGTGGGAAACAGAGACGAGACTCCTATTTTCATGTTATCCGATTAGCAGAGGAATCCAACCTACAAATCGGTAGAGTGCTTGATCACTTAAATCGGACAGCCAGGCTTCTAAATCTGGTGTTTAGTCGATGTTTGACATGCTCACTTGAAACCAGGGATCATCTTGGCAAAGCCGATGACTTTCTGAATGCTGTAACTGACAAGATCGGCCAGATGGGGCAGCATGGAGAGCTCGTCACCCGCTGCGGCCTCTGCACCACCTGCCGGAACACCCACATGCCCCCCCCCCAAACCCCCTGCTTGTTTAATAACAAAAAAAGGAACTCTGATTCTCCACAATCATGTTTTACATCTACTACCCACAACGGTGCAACAATCAAAAGAGATTATTTACCTACACGATACAACGTATGGAACCGCTTGCCAAAGATTTGATTGTGCAAAATGTAAGCGAACATGCTTGTTTCATGTTCATATACAGATCAACAGGGCACAGGGAGAAGGGGGCAATGTGGTCAAGATAAGAAAAACGAGACAAACGTAGGGTAGATGACTGAAAAGTCATCGATGCATATATTATTAGAACATTACTCTTTGGTTCTTTCGGTAAAGTCACGTAGAAAATAAAATAATAATAGAATACGACATTTAGAACATGTTTGTTTGCATGTTTTGCCACAAGTATGTGTGGTTACTGCAGACCCGATGCCTTGAAATAGATATCTATTTGATGTTTGAACATCCTAACAGCTGTTTTACTGCCAAGAAGGGTACAGCCGATTCTTATTTTTTCACCAATCGATATGGCGGAAAGGTAACAGTCGTGAATACTCTGCGTCAATGTACAGAGCACATTTTTGGCAAACGTTTTCTTCTGTGTAACCAAATTTAAGGGGAATGGGTTTATTTTGTATTTTCCATTGCTATTATTAATGGTATCATATCAATAACAAAAAAACTGACTCGCTGACTATAGTTGAATAAATGAGAATTCAATCGCCACGCCTTGCGATACGATGCATCAAATTGCAAACGAATGGAATTGCTCTGACCCTGCTCACAGTAAGAAAATGAACATTTTTATTTTGGTTTTTACACACTTGTCTTCAGTTCTTACAATAATTTGGCATATTTCACGTTTGAATGAGACCCGTATCTTTGGGGCCAACCTTAGACGGCAATTGTATGAATACAGTGAACACGGTTATAAAACACCAAATGAAATGAACATCACAGAATCACCGTAAACACTGGCCACTTACATGACTGACATCTGATACTACACAATGTTTAGAATCACGTAAACAAATGCCTTTCACTTTTAACAATCAAAAATTTACAGATTAACGAAGCATCTCATTTTCCCTACAAATCAATGTCTATAATAAAATAAAAATCCATAAATGCTAGAAGAACATTATCACATGAAACATCAACTGCATAACAAACTTTTAGCGCCAAGCACTTTCAGCAGGACTACTAATTTTACGATGTATAAATACTCGTATCAAAAGTGGACGCAAAAACTGCGACAAAACTACTTGCCATTACTCAGGATGATGTTTACAGAAAACAGGGGGCTGTACACATCTTGTGCAGTACATATTAATATAAAACACAATTACATTAAATTCATGCAACTATGGATTTTTTTATCCCACTTTTTTAAAAATCAGGATTACCATGCATGAAGGAATATTACATCTTGAAAAAAGGCCATTCTAAAACTAAAAATACATTTATGTGTTCGCACAGCCTACATTATCCGTGTTCGCCATCTCAAAATGAGCTGTAAACTCGAGGTAAAATGCCTTACGGCTGCACATTCTCTGGACGCGATAGAGGGCATCGTACGGAAGCATTCCCCCACAAGACTATCAAATCTAACAATGGGCTAGCCCAGAGCCTTTGACAGCCAAAGCAACGGCACCACAGGTGGTCTACGTACTTGCAGAAGCTTTGGGAAGCTCGTCCATATCTGAGTTGAGCAGGGACATCAGGAAAGGGTTGGTAGCATTTCTACATTCAGGACTGCCATCACCTCTCTTGGGTGGCTGCAAACATAGTTGACAAATTATATTAAAGCACAAGACCTAATGGTTTTTGTATGCATACATATAATACATTGATAAATATTCAACAAGACATCTGTCATCATAAAACAGGGAAATGCACATTGCTGTGCGCAAGTGTTAATAATTGCCTTTGTTGGTGTAAAGCACGTGACGTAAATTTTCCTTCTTAATTATACATATGCAAAATTGTGAGCTTCAATGTGTACAAAACACATTGGCAAGCGGTAAACATAATTAACCAATCGATGCCGTTGATACGTAGGGCTATAATGTGCAGCTGAGTGTTGTGCACTCAGCTGTTTAAAATAAGGTTTCACGGGGTGGAAAATTACAACAGTCCAAACATGCATCACTCCATTAGCCCTATAACTACACACAGGGCACACTTACGAATGCACGCTTAAGATTCAGCTCTCACGTCACAGTGCATAAAACACACATTGCACAATTTACTCACATTACTGACACTCTTCCTGGCACAAACATGCACACGAGTAAACCCGTAAGCCCTTCGCAACAGTGCATTTTACGATTTACCTCTTATTTTAAAATGACAGACTCAAAGGGCACTTCAAGGAAATCACCATATACTTTAGATTGAAAAGTTTCTAGATGGATGTCATTAAACAGATGTACAATTTTGGTAGCTTGATGAATATCACATTAATAATAAAGGGTTTGTTTGGGGGGTTAGATCGCGTAAATATAAATGTGTCGTTAAACCCGCCACCACCCGACACAGCCAGTTAATAAGGTTTGTCACGGAAACAGAACATACCAATTCGTTACAAGTACAGCACACCGGTGTGTTGGAGAGCAAATCCACAACATTTATAATCTGAGAACGACGTTACGCCAGTAATTACAACTAGCTTCATCAGGCGACAGCTGGATTTGTGGAGAAATCCTGACATTGTTGCCATCAAGAAATTTGAGCACAAGTTGAGATGCACCTTGCAAAACACGAGGTACATGTTTTTTACGGCACTATTTTTGCGTTTGCCATACCAAGTGTCCAGCGTGCAATAGTGAAGCTGTGAGTGGCAACAAATGAGCGTGACCAGGCATTGTACTTGCAAGCTATAGGGCAAGCGTTATGCTCAGTTTGTTCATGGCAAATGTAATGTGCAATGTGCCAAGTTATAGCAGTGTCACCAGAATTTCTAATAACGTATGTTTGGAAATATTTCCAAGTTATTTTACATGATTAGCACATCGCCAATAGTGAGTACATGCACGTTACAAAAGTGATAGCTAACATTAAAGTGGTATGAAGCCAATTTTTTCTAAATGGAAAATGTAATAAAAAACTTGCCACCTGGCCCAAATTTAAATTACTCCAAGCTCCAGTGAATTCCAATTTGTTGCCAAAAACAAACATTGTTTATCAAGCACTATTTGTACCATCATGAGGACACACAAGCACACACCAAAACTAAAAAAACAATTGTTGGCTTTTCTCAAATCATACAGAGCATAAATATTCAGAAGACATTCAAGGTGGATGTCATTTAAATCTTGACTTAAAGCTTTGTCACTGCAGGAATTCATATTCTTTGGGTCTTTCGGTAAAGTCACGTAGATAGTTTCAAAGAAAATAATAAAAAACTACGACGTTTCTATCGCAACACAAATGGTCGTCATCAGGAAAAGGGGGTTAGCTTCTAAAGGCAAGACTCTTTATAAAGGTTTGAAATGGGCGTAGCCCAAATGTTAGCAGCTAATGTTAATGTAAGTGGTGGGCTGCAACCACGATGGTGGTTGGTTTTCCACCAATGAAAGAGCTGCCAGGTGAAAATTTGCATGTTAATGCAAGATCGGTGAGCGGCCTCCATGACGCGCGGTGAGGTGGCTATGTTAATGTGAGAGATTAGCATGTTAATGTTGCTCATGATTTTGTTTCGATGTAGTCTCTTTGTTTACCAAAGTTCCTGTGCCTGACACCATTGCAATCATTGAACATTTGGTCCAACAAGGATTCAATGCTGATGTACCGGCCCTGGTTAAACACTGCCTCACCAACACTTACTTCACCTGGAATGGAACATTCTACAAACAAGTTGAAGGTACTCCGATGGGTTCTCCCTTATCTCCAGTAGTAGCCAATGTTTTCATGGAAAATTTTGGGACAGATGCCATCCAGGCATCCACTCTACGTCCGTCCTTGTGGAAGAGGTACGTAGATGACACGTTCGTCATCTGGCCACATGGCCGACCAGCTCTGAACCAATTCCTCAACCACAAATTCCATACACCCAGCCATCAAATTCACCATGGAGGTGGAAAAGGATAGCAAGCTACCATTCTTGGATGTTTTAATCGAAAAGAGACCAGATGGCTCAATGGGACACTGTCTACAGGAAAGCCACCAATATGAATGCATATCTAAAACCTGACACCCACCACCATCCATCCCAGAAGAATTCCCTCATCAAAACTCTACACCAAAGAGTTCTATGTATTTCCGACCATCATCACCGAGCCAGTGAACAGGAACACGTACACCAAGCTCTGAAGATTAATGGATATTCAGACTACACAATCCGTAAAGCTATCACCCCAATCGTTGGGAAAGAACCATCTGAGGACCCAATCAAAACCATCACCTTGCCATACATAGCAGGGGTCCCCAAAAATATTTCCAAAATCATGAGCAAACACAAGATCCAGGTTCGATTTAACGCAGTACATAAAATTCGTGATCTGATCCCATCTGTGAAGGGTGTGATCCCTGGAATGCAATACCCCAGCGTCTACAAACTAAGCTGTGTCTGCAGCAGTAGTTACATTGGGGAAACTCAGCGACATGTCTCGGACCGTGTTCGAGAACATAAGGCAGATCCGAAACACGGTAGGAACAATACCTCAGCCGTGGCTGATCATTGTTTTAATGGGGTGGGCTCACGCGAAATTGATTTCTCTAAGACGAAGGTACTTTGCAAATCCACTGGCTACCAATAAAAGATTCGTTCATGAAGCCATCCATATATACAGACAGACACAATTTCAACCGAAAAGTTTGGTACAAACTGAGCAATCATTGGAAGGACGTTATCAACCACCTTCCAATGTTAGTTGTTCATTTACAGGTTCACACTAACACAGCCACTTTGTGTGCCGACCTAGAGGTTGCTGCTCTGCGATCTCCCATTAGCATGCCAATCTCTCACATTAACATGTTAATCTCTCACATTAACATGCTAATCTCACACATTAACATGCTAATCTCTCACATCAACATGCTCATCTCTCACATCAACATGCTTATCTCTCACATTAACATGCTAATCTCTCACATTAGCATGTTAATCTCTCACATAAACATGCTAATCTCTCACAACATGCTAATCTCTCAAATTAGCATGCTCATCTCTCACATTAACATGCTCATCTCTCACATTAACATGTTAATCTCTCACATTACCATAGCCACCTCAGCGCGCGCGTCATGGAGGCCGCTCACCGATCTTTGCCCTTTTTCCTGATGACGAACGCTTGTGTTGCGATCAAAACGTCGTAGTTTTTGGTTATTTTCTTTGAACCTATCTACGTGACTTTACCGAAAGACCCAAAGAATATGGATGTCATTTCTTATCAGTGTGTAAATAATGCTGTATAAGCTGTAGATAATTTTAATCATCATATTAAAATAATTTTGCTGTAAAATTTCTCATATGGATAATGTGAAATGTTTAAGGCTCGCCATGATCACGCACCGATGTTTTTTAAGACCCCATATACAGCACAAAAGTTTGCCCGCCTTCGAGCATGCAGCACCTTCCAGTGCGTAGAGACCTGAATGCGAAGCCTACCCGGAATTGTGAGAAATCGGAATAAGAAGCATCGTAGGTCTTCCTGTGAGCTTCGATGAGCGTTGCTATCAGCCGCTCCTGCTCCTCCAACAGCTGGGGCGTATGGACTTCACGCGCAGAGTCTTCAAGCTTTCTCTTCATTATTATCTCTTTTTTCCTCTGCACTTCCTCCTCTGTCATGATCACTGCATTCACGGACACACGTTTACAAACAATCTGGGAACCAAAGAGGGTTATGCATTCCTGATTGCATCAAGAGAAAGGAACACAATATTCCGTTGTAAATTACAACCGTGGGTGTGTCACTGTGTATACTGTGGGCAGTTCTACCCATGCACGCCACACTACTACACCATGTCGTGACTTGTCTACCCACCCACCAGCCATGCACTCACCACCCCCACCCCTCTCTGTAGAGGAAAACAATGTTGATATGCCAGGGACAAGTACTCTTAGAACGAATGTTTTCTTTCTTGGCAATCACAAATTTCACATTTCCAAAACAATATTTACAAACAAGTGATAATTTCGATTTAAAGCTTTCGTGACTGCAAGGATTCATCTTCTTTGGTTCTTTCAGTAAAGTCACGTAGAATGAGAATAATAAAATAATAAAATAAAATAAACATTATTTTATTCTCATTCTACGTGACTTTACCGAAAGCACCAAAGAAGAAGTTATAATTTACACAATAATTCGGAGAAAACATTTGGAGGAAGAACCACAAATATTAAACTAACCTCATGAGTGAAAAGCACGATGGAAATTAAGTAATTGCGTTGCCTTTCAAACGCAGACATACAAAGTGTTAGTTGAGCAATCGAAAACAATTGCTAATAACAAACGCTTTACAGCACTGTAGACACATTTATAGCTTAGGCCAGAGGTCTTTAATCTTGCAGGACTAAAGGTCTACTTTCCCACAACAGGTGTGTCTCTGTCTGCACCTGTCCTCGCTAAAACTGCTTCGTAATTTAACTTGAGACACCTCCAATAAATATGCCCAACTCAACAGTTATTTGTGTTATCCACGGTACGGTGAGACTTGTCTTCCGCTGAACTGTGGACCCTGCATTAACTATAAGCAGACTGACCATTGGGCAGTAGCACCGGCCACATATTTTTGGTCAGGACACTTCTGAAAAGGTCACACCACGTTGGTGAGATGTTAACTCCCATGCATGGTATGCTAGAGATCATTAGTTCGATCCCGACCTTATCACCTTTATATTTTAAGTTTGCATGTTCTCCCCATGGTGGTGTAATTTTTTTCTCCGGGTCCTCCGGATATTCCCTCCACATTTAGAAACGTGCGAGTATTTGTCTGTTGTACATTTCCACATGATAAGCCACTTGGTTGAGCTATCATTTGTGGCCAGGTCGCTCAGTGGGCCCTACCTGGTACAATAAAAATAGCTAGTAGTTTCAGTTTGATGCTATGCACGCGCTGAGAAGGCCGTGTGGCCGATGGGATGAGCAAACCTACTTCTGAGTAAACCTACTTCTGAGTGTCTGTGTGGAGGGCACGGGTGTGCATGCATAAATAAGGAAGAGGTAGGAGGCAAATTTCCACTGGGGATCTTTGTCACGGTGTGGTTTTTACTGATTTTAATTGCCTCTTATGCACAGATGCATATTACATAATGCATCTGTGCACCTGCCCTTAATGAACAGCGGAGGGGTGGTAAGCGGCGGACGTCCTTACACTCTTTCATCATGCCAATATCCCGGCAGCGCTTTAGGCGGCATGCTTGGCAGTGCCGGCGGTTGTCCTTGGTGATGTTGCACTTCCCTTCAAATGGACAAGTGAAGGAAGCACTCCTCTTCATGCTCCTCCTGCACAAACACAAATGCCCCTGTTTTTATTTTCCCATTTTCACCTTCAAAAGAGAACCCTAATTGCAACAAGTACATAGGACACGCTTTGCAATCAGTAATATTTATGCACGCCACATAGGCAGTATGTCTACAGGGAATTAACCTGCTATATGTAAGAATACACGGCACAATTTGCGGAAATAGGCTATTATATGCGAATATCTAAGTCCAATATGCCAAAACAGACAATTATCTGCATCTAAATTGTGAAGAAAGACCTGAAATGTCCCAGATCTTTCCTTAAAAAAATGTATCGATGAATTCTCACGAAAAACTGCTCCAAGGACAATTTATATCTGTTTGCCTTTATTTTTAATATACAGATATATGGAAATACGAATACTGCAATCCGAGTTTGATTCCTTGCTTTGGCTCACATTAGTTGAGTAATTTCTTAATCAGTTCTGAGCTCCGCATCTCCGAACTTGTGCAAAATCAGTCGGATTAAATGTCATCAAACGTGCTTAAATATGGCTGAAAAATAATGACGAAGCATTCATCCAACAGTATATTCATAAGGGATGAAAATTATTATCCACTGCAGTGTACAACTATCGTACAATTTACCTACAATATTGCACATCTTGTAAAACCAACCAAATGTTTATTGTTAAATGTCATTTCAATGCATAAATGAAAAGAATAACTCTTACAAGACTTGAATCAAAGTTCATATCTGTGCTAATGAAAACAAATTTATACAGTACAACGTATCCCTCGCTTTTCGCGAGGGATACGTTCCAAAGATGCTCATAGATAGCAAATTTCGCGGATAATATTGGCCCACAAATATCGCATGCGCAACACCTGCAGATGCTTCTAAATCTTCGAGAAGTTCTCTCTCATCACTTTATCTCATCACTTTTCTGTCTCTCTCGATGTAGTCGTGTAGAGTTGCAGATACAATTTGCGAATAGCCAAAATCGCAGATAGCAAGTTCGTGAATAACGAGGGGACTGCACTAAAGGGAATGCACTATTGTCTTGTTTGACTCCACACAACCTTGCACAAGTTATGTAACGTAACGTTGAACATAATAGATAGGGCAGCTTTTGACAGCCAACAGAAGGGGCACTAGTGCAGCTCGTATGTCAACACATCTCCGCTACAACTGCCCAGTATGCAGACAGATTTTTCAGTGTGTTCATCAAAATGAAATGCATCAGTCACCATAATGGCATGAAACGATGCACGTTAGGCAACTTGTACCCTGGGTACTGATACCAGCTATTTTACAATCACTATATGTCAAAAATAACATTTGCGATTGCATGGCATGGAATCGTTTGTGAAAACAAGTCAAATGTTGATGGCTAGACGCTCAAATTTGTAGTTTTATCTTCCCCCATGTTAACTCTTAAAGACTATTGATTACTAAACGTGGTGTTTATCCATAATAGTAAATACACGATTGAAAGGCAAAGGTGGAACATGGCATGCAAATTGGTTACACAAGCAAAAAAGTTTTTTATCTGATTTAAAGCTTTCGTGACTGCAAGGATTCATCTTCTTTGGTTCTTTCGGTAAAGTCACGCAGAATGAGAATAAAATAATAAATTGATAAAATAAAATAACACAATTTATTATTTTATTCTCATTCTACGTGACTTTACCGAAAGAACCAAAGAAGTTGTTTTCTCTGCTCGAGTTCTCACCGTCTTAAATTTAATCATTGGGTTATCACTGCAATACACTGTACAAAATTAAGTGCTTAACAGGGATTCATGTCAAAGCAAAGACCTGCACTAACTTGCATTTATTTGCATATACAAGGGACCTCCATAGAGCTTTGCAACAGAGCAAGGGTAACTGTGCCTAGTCTATCAAAAACAATTGAGTTAATTACGAACGATTGTCCACAATTACCTATCTACCGAGCATTTAATGGATTATACCGGAAAATGATGACCCATGATTCCAATGTCAAAAAAGTTTAACGACTGTCTCTTTAATTGTAATAAAATACTGGGTTGAAAACTGGCAGTTATCAACAATCATCAAACATTGAGAACCTATAAGGTTTTGATTTAAAGCTTTCGTGACTGCAGGGATTCATATTATTGGTTCTTTCGGTAAAGTCACGTAGAAGGTAAACAATAAAAATATAAAACAATAAAATTCTCACGACGTTTCAACTGCAACATAAGCAATCATCATCAGGTGTGAAAACCACAGCTAACGTAAAAAAAAACGCCACTTTTTTCAAATTTTCTTGCTGTGGTTTTCACACCTGATGATGATTGCTTGTGTTGCAGTCGAAACGTCGTGATAATTTAATTGTTTTATATTTTTATTATTTTCTTTCCCTTCTACGTGACTTTACCGAAAGAACCAAGAATATGAACCTATAAGGTATTTCACATTTTCCTGAATCGCTAAGCCTAACTAGCCTAATTTTATCACCCATTTAAATTTGTGGCACTTTACGCTTGTGGTGCAACGGGGTTTGGGACTCATTCACTCCGCAAGGGGTGGCATGAAATTATAACAGGTCCAAGGTTTTTTTTTTTTTCTCCAGGTGGACAGAGGCAGTCACGTTTCATCTCGAATACCTGAAGAAGCCCTTGCATCCTTCACAGGTCATGGCATTGAAGTGGTACCCCGTGGCCTTGTCTCCACACACGCCGCACACCTTGGGCACGCCGCCCTCCTCGTCGTCCTCAAGAGCGTTGGAAGTGCTCACCGTCATGTTCTGAGTGGCCATCATTGCGGGCTAAGCAGCCTAAAGCTGGCCCACCTTAAACGATCTCACACAATCAGAGAAACAACGGGTGTGTTCGTACCGGTGAATGAATGCAGTGTATTTTGCTCGCACTTTTTTTTCTTGCAAAACAATAATACTCAATGTCATCTTGCTTTTTGCAAAGAGGTACTGAAAAGGAAAAAGTGTTGTTTGGATGGGTTTCAAAGCCAAAGCTGTGGACGGATGGAATTTGTCAGCATTACTGAGAATCCCGTACATTTTTACCGTACATTTAACTGCAAACAAAATAAATACTAAAAAAAATCGTGGCAAAACAGGCTATCCAAGTCCATTCCTAGTGGGTACCAAAGAAAAAACAGCAGAGATGTAATTTACTGGACAGTTGCAGCAAAAACGTCAATAACCTTCTAACCAAATTGTTATGCAAGAGGCCAGCGTTCGCTTGCACGTATTCCACCAATCTCTGTTCCTGAATATGGAATTACGAGGTGGAGCGATATTGTACAGCCCAGAGGCGTGTTTTCCGTGAAAGTGTCATATTATAAATAATGGAGCCATCCTCCTCCCGTGCAGTGCGAAGCCAATGGGACGACCTATTTGGTTATGTAATGCCCGAAACGTGCATGCAGCAACATCGCTCGCTGTGTTTATATAAATGCCGAAATAACGCAGACGCGCGAAGAACACACGAATGATGATCGGACCCCAAACGAGACGCGCACGTTCCCACAACGTTCAGAGCGCCCCCCCCCCCCCCCCTCCGAGACACGTGGAATGAAGGAACCAAGACATCTTAGACCCACTCACCCCCCCTATGCAGACCCCCACAACAACCCCCCCACAACACCTCGGCCAGGTGGCTTGGGGCTCCTGTTGAGAGTCAGGCTACGAACTGGACCCCGACTACTCAACACGATCCCATTTCCCAGCCGTACTCCAATCTCACCCCCTCTCACTCGTATTCATTTTCGTCTCTCCTCCTTCCCCGATCGTCTCGAGTTCCACTCTTTATCTCTCTCTCTCGCTCCGCCTCGCTCGTCTAAATTCTCGACGGTAAAATCTCCACCGCTCCCCTCGAGAGGCTCGGCCCCTTCTCGAACAGCGAACTTTCTTGACGTCGTCTCCCGCCTGGTGTGCTCTCACCTGGCGGCGGCGGCGGCGGGGGGTTGGAGTCGAACTCGCGCCGTGTTGCCCACCACCACCACCCCACCACCACCACCACGACACCACGCCGTGGCACGGTACACAATCCTCCAGGCACCAACTCGCTCGCTAGAGTTGTCCACTCTTCGCTCCGTCTCCCCTCGCGGCCGCCGCGGCCCCTTCTTCCACCCCGCAGCGAGACCCACCACCCCACCACCACCACCACGAACCCTCTCTCACTTCGGCTCTGTTCGCCTCTCGCCGCCACCAACAACGCGCCCACCCCCACACACACCTCACACCACTGCGAATCGCGCCGCAGCCGCCGCCGCCGCCAACTCGGCAGGACGAACGAGCCGGCTGACGGGCGATGGTCCCGTGGTGGTTGAGAGGCAGCGGGGCAGGGCTCAAGTAACCGCGGTGGCTTGAGAGGCTGCGGTGGTGGTGGTGGCGAGTGATGGTGGTGGTGACGGTGACCGCGGCGTTGACTGTGGCGGTGCTGAGTTACGGTGGTTGGGTGACTCGCGGTGGTGAGGTGGTAGCTAGCTGCTGCTGCTGCTGGTGGTGGAGGTGGTAACAGGGACAATGCGCGCTGGGCGCCTTCTCCGCTTATGTAATCGTGCGGGGCCGCGCACTGTACTCGGCGCACTATGCCCGCGTGAGGTGGATCGATTCCGATTCTGCGCGCACTCTTTGCGCGCACGCGGGAATCGGATCGAAGACCTGGCATGGTTTCAGATGGTGGTGTTTGTTCGTCTGGCATCACCGTGATCATCGTCGTCATCATCATCTTCGTCGTCGTAAACAACAACAAGCCGTATTCTTGGTTCTTTCGGTAAAGTCACGTAGATAGGGAAACAATAATAAAATAATAAAAATATAAAACGATAAAATTCTCACGACGTTCCGACTGCAACACAAGCAATCATCATCAGGTGTGAAAAACCACAACAAGAAGACCAAATTGTGAAAACCACAGCAAGCAGAAAATTTTCTTGCTGCTGGTTTTCACACCTGATGACGATTGCTTGTGTTGCAGTCGGAACGTCGTGAGAATTTTATCGTTTTATATTTTTATTATTTTATTGTTTCCCTATCTACGTGACTTTGCCAAAAAGAACCAAGAATTTGAATCCCTGCAGTCAGTCACGAAAGCTTTAAATCAAAACAACAAGCCGCTTGGTGCACACGTTCATAGTATTACGTAACCGTCGACCCACACGGCTTCACCCCGTATTCTTGTGCAGGGAAATTGAGTTTGTCACGTCCATACGGCGTAACAGCCGTTTCAATATTGGGCAGCAAAATAATTGCCTCTTTTTGTTTTGTGTGTTCACCCTTGTGATGGTGACTTTGTAGGATGAACGTTGAGATTTATAAGGGGCACGGAGTGACCAATAAGATCTGAATTGGTCTGTAATAAAGTAGGCACTGATAAGGGGTTGACAGGTTTGTAATCATCATAATGACTGTAAACAACAACAACACCACCACGCCGCTTGGTGGACAATCTCACCAAAGGGAGGAGGTTCTTTGTGGTTTCGACAAGAGAACAACAACAGCACGCGACCATCGGACACTGATACTCATACCTGTCAACCCCTTATCAGTGCCCTACCTGATTACAAAACAAATCAGACCTTATTGGTCACCCCCGTGCCCCTTATCAATCTCAAGGTTCATCCTACAAAGTCACCATCACAAGGGAGAAACACAAACAAATATACCATTTACGTGCCCGTATTGAAACGGCTGTTACGCCGTATGGACCTGACAAACTCAATTTCCCTGTACAAGAATACGGGGTAAACCTTATGGGTTGACAGTTCTGGACGCTGAACCCTAGCCCTTTGGGTATGGGCGTGAATCCTCAAGGTCCGAAACGTGGCTCAATCTGGCACTGCCACCCCCCCCCCCCGCTACGGTCTTAATAATATCGAAATGTTAAAGCACGTAAATTGCTTCTTGGTTTGTCCGCACGAAGTAGAATCAGAATATTGACTTATACTGGAGGAATCCGATGAGCTATAAAGCTCTTTTCAGAATCAGAATCAGAAAGGGTTTTATTCGCCATGTAAGTTCACACCGACACGGAATTTACTTTGGCAGGATGGTGCATACATTCAACATATAGGAATCTAAAATCTTAAATAAGTTTTAAACAAGTCTTACTATAATAAGGGTTAAAAGTCTAACATTAAGGGGCTGAAGTATATAAAATTAAATAAATATCGAATATAAAATAGCTTTAAGATATAATTTAAAAATACAAATAGGGAAACATAGTTAATATCAGCAACGTGTCGTTATGTAGATCAAATGTTAAAAACAGTGTTAGCCCTTGGCCTTGTTTAACAGGCCAGCAGCAGATGGGAAGAAACTGTTTTTATGGCGTGAGGTTTTGGTCCTGATGGACCGAAGCCTTCTGCCGGAGGGGAGTAGCTGAAACAGAGAGTGTCCAGGGTGGGAGAAATCGGCCATAATCTTCCTCGCTCGCCTCATAGACCTTGTCGTGTGCAGGTCCTCGAGGGTCGGTAGATTGCAGGCAATTACCTTCTCAGCAGTGTGGATGATACGCTGCAGTCTGCTCTTGTCCTTGGCAGTGGCAGCAGCGTACCAGACGGTTATGGAGGAGGTGAGGATGGATTCAATGATCGCTGTATAGAATTGCACCATCATTGTCTTTGGCAGGTTGAATTTCTTCAGCTGCCGTAGAAAGTACATCCTCTGTTGAGCTTTCTTGGTGAGGGAGCTGATGTTCAATTCCCACTTGAGGTCCCGGGAGAGAATAGTGCCCAGGAAGCGGAAGGACTCTACAATTTTGACTGGGGAGTCTAACAGGGTGATGGGGGTGAGTGGTGCTGTATTCTTCCTGAAGTCCACAACCATCTCAACTGTCTTTAGAGCATTTAGCTCTAAGTTGTTCTGGCTACACCAGGTCACCAGATTGTCAGCTTCCCACCTATAGTCAGACTCATCCCCACCAGAGATCAGCCCAATGAGGGTGGTGTCATCCGCAAACTTCAATAGTTTGACGGACAGATGATTGGAGGTGCAGCTGTTGGTATACAGGGAGAAGAGCAGAGGGGAAAGGACGCAGCCCTGAGGAGTTCCGGTGCTGATGGACCTGGAGCCAGAGACTTGTGTTCCCAGCTTAACGCACTGCTTCCTGTCAGACAGGAAGTCTGTGATCCATTTACAGGTGGTGTATGGCACGTTCAGCTGGAAGAGCTTGTCCTGAAGCAGGGCAGGGATGATGGTGTTGAAGGCAGAGCTGAAGTCCACAAACAGGATCCTGGCGTAGGATGCTGGGGGCGTCCAGATGCTGTAGGGTGAAGTGGAGGGCCATGTTAACTGCATCGTCCACAGACCTGTTGGCTCTGTAGGCAAACTGAAGGGGGTCCAGGAGAGGGTCTGTAATGGCTTTGAGGTGTGCCAGGACCAGGCGCTCAAAAGACTTCATTACCACAGATGTAAGGGCGACCGGTCTGTAATCATTTAGTCCTGTTGGCCTTAGCTTTTTGGGCACAGGGATGATGGTGGAGGACTTGAGACAGGCTGGTACATGGCATGTCTCCAGGGAGGTGTTAAAGATGTTGGTGAACACCGGAGACAGCTGGTCAGCGCAGTGCCTGAGGGTGGCTGGAGAGACAGAGTCCGGCCCGGCTGCTTTGCGTGGATTCTGCCTCTTGAAAAGTCTATTAACTTCTCCCTCCTGAAAGGAGATAGTCGTCTCTGTAGTATTGGTGGGGGATGGGGCCTCTTGGGTTGGAAGGGGTGGTTCAGGACAGTCCAATTGTCTTTCAAATCTACAGTAGAACTCGTTCAGGTCGTTGGCTAGGCGGGAGTCGTTAGTGGTGTGGGGGGATCTGGGTTTGTAGTTGGTGATCTGCCTGAGCCCTCTCCAGACAGAAGCAGCGTCGTTTGTAGAGAACTGGTGTTTTAGTCTCTCTGAGTACAGTCGTTTAGCCTCTCTCACCGCTTTGCTAAACCTGTTCTTCGACTCCTTGAATCTGTCTCTATCTCCACTCCTAAACGCTTCCTCCTTCTCCAACCTCAACCTTCTGAGCTTTGCTGAGAACCAGGGCTTATTGTTGTTAAAGTTCACCCTGGTACGTGTTGGGATACAGCAGTCCTCACAGAAGCTGATGTAGGACGTCACAGCCTCTGTGAGTTCATCCAGACTATTGGTAGCAGTCGTGAACATATCCCAGTCAGTACAGTCTAAGCACGCCCGCAAATCTTCCACAGCCTCACTGGTCCACTGTTTAGATGTCCTCACAGCAGGTTTACAGAGTTTTAGTTTCTGCCTGTATGCAGGAATCAGGTGGACCATGGCATGGTCAGAGTGTCCTAGTGCTGCTCGGGGGACGGCGTGGTAGGCTCTACTGACTGTAGTGTAGCAGTGATCCAGAGTGTTCCCTTCTCTGGTTGGGCATTTAATGAATTGTATGTATTTGGGGAGTTCGTGGCTGAGATTACCTTTGTTAAAGTCGCCAAGTACGATAACCAACGAATCTGGATTTGCTCGCTCCACACTCAGAATCTGATCGGCGAGCATGCGTTGGGCCTCTTTAACCTGAGGACAAGGCGGCAAATAAACTCCGACCAAAATGAGCGACGCGAACTCGCGAGGCGAGTAAAACGGTTTACAGGTTATAAAAATTGATTCAAGGAGTGGAGAACAATGTTGCAGAATCACTGTGACATCTACACACCAGCCACTGTTAATGTAAAAACAAATACCACCGCCTTTCGTCTTGCCGGAGAGTGCTATGTCACGATCCGATCTTACAAGATGGAATCCTGCTAGTTGTAGCGAAGTGTCCGGAATCAAATCACACAGCCATGTTTCCGTGAAGCACAATGCAGAAGCTGAAAGAAAGTCTTTGTTTTTTACCATCAGTAGCTGAAGTTCATCCATTTTGTTGTACAGTGAACGTACGTTGGAGAGGAAAAAGCTCGGAAGCACTGTTCGGATCCCGCGTCTGCGTAGCCGTACTAGAGCCCCCGACCGTTTACCCCTTGGGCGGCGTTTCGTTGCTTGAGCAAAGCCTTTGAGTGTTTCGGTAAAGTTACGTAGATATGTTCAGAGAAAATAACAAAAACTGCGACGTTTCGATCACAACACAAGCGGTCGTCATCGTCCTTTTCCTGATGACGACCGCTTGTGTTGCGACCGAAACATAGTTTTTTGTTATTTTCTTTAAACCTATCTACGTGACTTTACGGAAAGACCCAAAGAATATGAATTCCTGCAGTCATGAAAGCTTTAAGTCAGTTAGGGGCAGGTCAGAACGTTACAGAAAACAATATTACAAACACGATAGGAGTGCAAAGTATAGGAAAGGTAAACACGTCACTTCGCAATATTAAAATAAAACTAAATGATATTTGATCTTACGAGGCAAAGCCCACTGAGCTACTTTATTAACTTATTTTTCAGAAGCGACCTGGCCACGAACGATAGCTCAACAAAGTGGCTTATCGTGTGGAAATTCATAGCAAAATAATCTGGATGATTGGCACAGAATAACGGTATTGATACCTGTCTGAACCACGCTGCTGGACTATACAAAGGTATTGCATATACAGATGGGGGGTCGGGCGAACGATAACAGGGCTCTTGGGGGGTGGGGGGGCTTTTGGAAAAAAAAATAATGTGATCATGAAAAGCAATGCACAGCACCAACAACGTGCC